AGGAATGGTGGTTCTGCTTAGCACTGATTATAATGTACTTTCATCAAATTTCCCCTTGCAGTTTTTTCACAAGTAGGCCAGCGCTTGCCCTGAGGTTACTTCCTCACAAAGATTCCTTTATATGGCACAAAATAAGATATTCACATAGGTTAGAGATGCACTGACCACTATTCAAAGAATAAATAGCCTAGTCACTTCATGGAAATACCAGGAACACAGCTTACTCCTGCTATCAGAGTAGTAAAATTCACTACTTGGACTTAAGCTGAATATTTCTGTTGGATACACATCAGTTTTAGTTTTCATGTTTTTCAGCAACCAACAGCTTCCTAATGTTCGTTGTAAGAAAATATATATATACGGTATATTGTGCTTTGCTACTAATGATACCAGCTCTGGCCATCAAGATTTCTAGGAGAAATCATGTAATTCTAAAACCTCTGAAGAAAAAATAAGTCACAGAGTAAGATTCAGAATCCAGACTGAAATGGTTTTATAAGTAATGAGGGGAAAGTTAATGTATTTGTTTGAACAGGATGCTATGTAAAAAGACGAGTTTAAACCATCCCCCCTCTGCTTAAAACTTGTCACGCTGGAACGAATTGGAGACATCAGTTTGCAAACTGGATACATGGAGCTATTTAAAATGAATGATACGCTCTCAACATATTCTTTGACGTTATTTTTAAAATCAGAGGTTCCAGTCCTGTGTCAGGTGTTGTGCCCTTTCCAAGCACCGATGCCAATGGGAGTTGAAAGTGCAAAACACTCATTGGACCATGCAAGAATAAAATGGCAGTAGTAGCACCTCCTATAGAAAGAGCAGAATTTGGCCGATCTGTACACGGACACCAGCTGCTTAGTCTCAGGCACAGTGGATGCTCTCTCTAAGGCATCTGGTTCTGGGCACTGTCAGAGATGGGACACTGGACTCGAGAGACCACAGGTCTGAGCCAGTATGGCAATTCCTACTGTCCCTCTGTTGCAGGGAAGAATTCAGCAACAGTGTCATAGTGGAACAGTAACAAAATCATAGTGGGAAAGTCCCCCTGAGCTTTGCATTGAACAGGCCTTTCTTGCATTCAAAAATTCTCTTGCCAAAAATCTCTCACACAACTTGAGTTCTCTTAGAAACCCCCAAGAACTCTGACGTGTTTATGTCAGGACACCACTCATTACAGAAGTGTGGTCTCAGTTATTTATTTTACTTTAAAATGAGCTGGTATAAAGAGACAGGCAGTCCTAATCCCAAAGATCTGACAGTGTCAGTGGGGCTCCCGGGGTGGGGTGGGCAGTGATGGCACTCTTCCAAGTTCTGCCCACAGAATAAGCTCTCACCACAGGAGACAGGACTCACAATAAATTGTGCTGTTGCTGAAAATATGATCACACATGCTCTGTGGGCTCCTTGAGCTCATCTCCCCCTTACTGGGGTCCAGATACACCCATGGGTTCAGCTGGACTCCTTGTGCTTGACTGCCTTGTCAGCAAGGCTTGGATGCACAGGCGGCTGGTGAAAATATTCTCTGTGAGGTCCCCGGGCCGGGGGGGGGCGGAGGGGAGGGGAGGAGAGATCACTGTGTATGTTATGACCTGGTGTGGAGAAGAGGAAGTTGGAGAGCGAGTCCACCATGCACTCACCCCAAAGCAGAGGCTCCTGACCTGCTGGGCTGGGCCTGGCTTCCCACTCCGGCTGGTAGCTCTTGCCATTTGCAGATTTGCTGTGGTGGGCTTCACCAGATTGGGGGGTGGCACCTACTAGCCATCTGACCACCCCAAGAAAACAAGGAGGGGGCGGGGAGAGGCGAGGGAAAATATCAACCCCACATAACACTCTAAAGTGAAGATGGATGCTGATGCCAAAGGGGGTCCTATGGGGGGCTTCCTAGGTGAGCCATAGGGGACTGGAGCCATTGAAGAAGTGGGGGGTTGGTGCTGCCAAGAGTTGAGGGGAGGTTTTAAAAGATGGGTGTATTGGGGAATGGGGCTTTGGGGAATGGTGAGCAGAGGGCAGAACTGGCTTGCTGGGTGCACTCAGGACAGACTCTGCCCCCAGCACAACACTGGGGCTCTGCAGACTTGTCTTGACGCTGGGCTCGGAGGACTCTCCCCACTTATCCTGCTGCTGGGCAGCCAGGTGGCACAGCACTGAGCTGATGCTGGTGCTGCTGGAGGCAGGGCTATATCTGCAGAGCGGGACTGCACATGCGGGTGGCAGGACCTGAGTCCCACTCTAGCCCTAGCCAACCACTGCCTATGTTTGTACATGCCACTGTGCTTCTTCACTTGTTTGTAGGGGCCCTCTTGCCCCTCTGGGCTCTGGTAGGCTCCTTCTTGATTGGAAGGGCTGGAGAAAAGTGGCAGCTTTCTCAAGTCCACCTAGAGGTGCCAAAATGAGTTGTCACTTACAGTAGATTGTGCAGATTTTCATAATATAGCTCTCCTTTCTTATGTGCTTTGATGAGAAATGAAAGAGTTAATACTTGAAGTGACAATGTAATTATCACTGGGTATTTGAGAGGTGGCAGAGGTTGCCTGAGCCTCAGCTCTGGTGGAATGGATCCTAATCTGTACAGGTGGGTCAAAATGGGTCACCCTGTAACAGGTCTTAATATAATCTGGGACCTATTGTGACAGTCTGGGTGGAGATTGGTTGGCCCTTCATTCTGTCAGTATGTGTTAGGGAACAGTTTTGGAGAATTCCTGAATGACTTTGTTCAGTCCAGATAGTAAGAAAGAAACTTGATAATATCCAAAAGTGTGAAGTTTAGTCCTCCAAAGTGGAGTGAGGCTTGGGGAAGCATACAGCTAAATGGATCATCTGATTAGGATAACAATCAGAAATTAGTAACCTTAGATAAGGGCATCAGATCACTTGGTCCTTTTGGAATACTATATAAAGTAGCCCCACCATAAGGGTTTAAATCTCTCTTATCCTTCTGGGTAAGGTTATGGCCACTAAAAAGGCAGTCTTCATAAATAAGTGGTACAAAGAGCAGACCACCAAAGGCTCAAAAGGAGGCTACATCAAACTTGTTAAAACAATACTGAGGTCCCAGAAGTGCAGGATCTCTGCTTCATGGGAAAACAAATCTAGCCACTGTTGGATGAGAACAGTCTGGCCTTCCCAATGGGGGACAGTGATCAGAGATAGGTGCCAGATGCACTCTAAGGGAGCTGATGGAGAAGGCCAAATACTTTAAAGTGAGCAGGTAGTCCAGGGATGGCAGCCATCAGTGCTTCCAAGAGAGACAGATGATTCCCCACTGCCCAGATAGAGAGCCTCTTCCATTTAGCAGCACAGGCAAGACTGGTGGAATCCTTTCTGTTGCAAGCTAGGATATATTGAACGACTAAAGATCAGGATCTATCACTGGATGTTAGCTAGCCAGCATCCAGGTTGCGAGGTGAGGGTGTCTGGGTCTGGGTGCAGGATTTGTCCCCTTCAATTGCAAGATGACATCTGGGAGCGTTGGGAGCATTGAGAGCGTAAGTGAGGGCCGTGTTAATAGGTTTATGAGATCAGCAAACTAAAACTGTCTGGGCCATGCCATCATTTGAGCTGCAACCTGTTTGACCTTGAGAGAATTAGAGGGTAAGCATACATGAGTCCAGATACCCATGGGATCAGAAACACATCTGACTGGAAGCTGGAACTGGATCCTCCTCTGGAACAGAGCCTATGGTGGTTGGACACAAACAGATCTAAACTCAGGCACCCCCAACCTGTGAAAGATGTCTTGCAGAATGGAGTCCGTGAGTGGTCCTTTGTGGTTGTCTGAGTATTAATGACTGAGATGGTACCCTAAGGTGTTCTATAGGCTACAAAGGCACAGGAGCCCATTGGTGTGACACTGATTGATGCACTTTTCCTCCAGGGGGATCACTTCCTGACACAGCAGCAATGAGCAAGTTCCTCCCGGTTTGTTGCTATAGTACATTGCCGTGCTATGTCCATGAGCAGCTGTACTGTGGCACCTCAAAGAGCCAGGAGGAAAGCTATGCAGAACAGCCCTCAATCAGGATGAGAAAAAAAAATAGATTTCAGAGAAACACATACCAGGCCAAAAGCATGATGCTATATATCGGTTCCATGATTTCCGACTGACCATGCTTATTTAGGGCCTAATATGGGAAGGTGATGGGCATTTCCTACCGCCAGGAATAGGAAACAACCTCAGCACCCACTGACTTTAATTGGAGTTGAGCAAATACTCAGCACCTTGCAGGACTAGGCCCAGAGAGTACAAGGGACAACTTCAACTGATTTAGATTTGTCACAGCTGCATTGGCTTCAATTTACAACTGAAGATCTGCTCTGAATTCATTGTGATGGGTGGGAGTCTAGAATTTTAATGAATTGCTGTCTTTATGATACTTTGATTATTTTCTCACTTCTCCTTTGACCCTTAAATGGGTCAGTCATCAAAAAAAGCCTATTTTAGGAGAAACATAGAAAAAATGAAACATAAAAGAACCTTTACAGAGAGTCTTCCCAGTGCTTGTGACATAGAACAGGAGAGTGGAGGATAAGCCATTGTGTATGTTGAGGAAGTCTAAGAATAAAGATTATAGGAAAACAGTCCTACCTTTCTTTACAAGGCCTTGATTTAAATCCCTGAAATCTCAAATTTTGCTATTACAATGAAGTCCTGTTGCAGACAGAGCTGGCTTTTTATCACCACTTAAAATCTAATTAATCCGTATTGAAGCACAAAGATTTCTGTTGTATTTTAGGGTGAGGGGTCATAGAGCCTTCTTTGTTCATCCTCAGACTTGTAATCATCAGGCATTGGGATATAATTTTACCAAGCAAATTGGAAGGTAACAGATCAAATCTTTATCAGAAGGACTCTGCTAAACCATGAGTTAGGCTTTCGTCCTTTACATGAAACATTATATTCATGAAGAACAAAAAAGTGTTTCAGAGTTTTCAAAGGGTTAATATCTAAGCTTATATTCAGGGCACAAAGAACTAAGATCATCATAGCTCCGACCACCAGAAAAGATATCAGCTCTTATAGAGACATTCCTCCTAAAGCTTTTTGGACTGTGCTCTTCTAATGGCTTTAGTCTACAGAACTGTGATGCAATTAAGTGGCATTTTATTCTCTCTGTTGGGATGGGTTCTATCCTGTCTCACTACCTATTTACCTCAGTGGAAAAATCTCAATTTAGAATTAAATGAATTGGAGATCTGGACCATGGGACTCTGGCAAGCTTGTGTTGTCCAAGAGGAAGGGGGAATGCAATGTAAGGATTTTGATTCTTTCTTAGCTTTGCCTCCAGAGCTTAGGATTTCTAGGATTTTGATGTTTGTTTCAAATGGATTAGGACTTTTGGGCCTCGTGCTTTCAGGTTTTGGGTTGGACTGTTTGAAGATCGGTGAAAGACAACAGGAACTAAAGAAACGGCTATTACTGCTTGGAGGAACACTCTTCTGGATATCAGGAATTACAGCCATAGTCCCAGTTTCTTGGGTTGCTCACACTACAGTCCAGGAATTTTGGGATGAGAATATCCCAGATATTGTTCCCAGGTGGGATTTTGGGGAAGCACTATTTGTTGGCTGGTTTGCTGGATTTTGTCTTATACTAGGAGGGTCACTACTTAATTGCACTGTCTGTTCAACTGAAGTCCATCCATCCTCAGTCCATTACACAGTAGCAGAAATGCAAGATCACTGTCAACACTTGGAAACTGAAAATAGTCCTGAAAATTTAGGAGTTTAAGTAGTACAGAAAGTCGTCTCTTTCTTTTCAAACTTGAGCGCAAGGCAGAAGTTTGTTCCAATAATGATTCAAAGGACTCTTTGTTACTTAGCTGATTCACTAAAGTTGTGTGTCTAATTCTTTCTTCTTGTAATTGTTATTTCAAAGTAGTGTTGTCGCCCCGGGGGTAGGGAGGGGCGCAAAACCGTTAAACCTTTTGTTTCACAGCAGGACATTAAAGCTATCATTACTGCAGAGAAGAACCACTACTTTGTTTTGCTATTAAAGCTGAACTGTAGACCCCCAAAATATATAAGGTTGCTCTCTTATATGTTGGTTAAGAGCCGAAAATGTAAGTTTCCTTTTCATATGAAACCAGTTAAGTGGTATTCAAAGGCTTTTGACTCCTTATGGCACAGCCATCCACCTATCTGATCCAGTAACATTTTTATGATCTAGAGTATTTTCATCTCTAAAAATAGCCTAAAAATACTTGTATTCTGGGTATAGACTTTTGCTACAGAGAGAAGGAGATCTCCGTGTAGGAACTGTGTTTCTTTATCCAGGAAAATTGTGAATTCCCCAAACCCTAAAAAGACTTGCAGAGAACTAGATTTATTTAAAGCACGTTTAGTTTCTTAAAAATGCTATATGTACTTCATCAGCATCACAGGCCACTGTCCCAAAATAGCTAGTCATTTGTTATACCAACCTAATACGGGAAAAGAAGACAAAAGTTAACCTGGATGTTCTGGCATCTGCATATTTCATATACAAAGAAAAAAATTAAAGAGCCAGGAGTGGTTGAAAAATACCTAGTTAAAAGAGTTAATCTGCTCCTAAGCATTTGCTATTTTATAGAGTATAGGAATTGAGTTTTTAATAATGAACACTTGATCTGCATTCAATGAAAGATTTCTGTTAAACTTTTCTCATATGTAGCAGCAGTTCTTGTACATGTAAATAGTTTGATTTTAAACAAATATACTTCTTAAAACTTGAGAAATACTGCATTTATTTTACTATATGCAGACAACCTTATTTGTTAAAATATATAAAGTTTGCATGGGCTTATCCAAATACACGGAATGTGAATTATTCAGTTTATGAATTATCATCCTAAATAATGAGTTAATTAAAAATACCCAGAACTATTAAAAACTACTTAATGAAAAGGGTTGGAGTATTGTTACCCAAATAGTAACAATCACTATTAATTAATAGGTCACTATTATTTAGCGTATGCTTTTCTGTTAAAAGACAAGCTATTTTCTGCAAAGCAAAACCAATGGAATGTGAGCCTAGTTGCAGCCACATCTTTGAATTACTGATTTATCACGTTATTTCTCTATACTCAAAACAAATCCACATGGAACCAGATAAAACTAGATCTGTCAAAGTCCTTTTATGAAATAGCATATAAAAGAGGGGGAAATATTCCACAGTTTACAAAGTTTATGTTTAGTGCAACAAGCACTAAACAGAAAATGTATCTGTAGTAGTTGGTAAGATATTCCTAAAGCATTTGGACTCTATTATTAAAATGGATTTAGCCCACATAAGTAGGATGCAATTAGCTGGAATTTTATTATTTTTTGTTAGGATAAGTTTTAACTGGTGCTTATGTCAGACTGGAAAAATCTCAATTTGGATTTAACTGACCATGGGACTCTGGGAAACCTGTACTGTTCAAGACTAATCAAGAGGAACACAGTGCAAGGATTTTGATTCTTTATTAGCTTTGCCTGCAGAGTTCAGGATTTTAGTGTCTACGTCAAATGGGCTTGGACTGAGTCTTCTGATCTCTAGTTTTTGGACTGCCTGAAAATGGGAGCTTCACAACATGAACTAAAGAAATGACTGTTTATTGCATAAAGGAATACTTTTACGGATATCTGGAATTTGAATCTTGCCCCCAGTTTCTTGTGTTACCCATGTTATAACACAGACATTTTGGAATGAGGCTATCCTGGAGATTGTCCCAGATGGGAATTTGGGGATGCACTATTTTCTGGCTGGTTTGGTAGATTCTTGTGATGCAAGGAGTCATTACTTATATGCACAGCTTGTTCAACTAAAGATCACAAATTGTCAGTTCGTTATGCAGTGGCAGAAATTCAAGATACCTATTAACATTTGTAAATTGGAAATATAGACCTAAACATTTAAGAGACTTTAAGAAGGGCAGATATCAGTTTCCTTTAAGACTCTACTAGAAGAATCAAACTTTTCAGTTCAGGATTTGTAGGTTTATCTGACACAGATGAACCACCTCACCTACAAGGTGTTAGATTTTTTTTAAACTTTGTTATTCCCTTCAATCACCAAGTTTGAAAACTGCATCCTTCCTGCAAGTCTGGTAAACCATTTTCATGTTCAGTGTGGAGAGAAAAAACAATTGAAACTTAACAGTGACTAGAATAATTACTTTGATTGTATCTGCCTATATGATAATACAGTTTATGACTGTGCAGATCTGGTAAATAAGATACAAAATCATAATATATGGATGTTTAGTTTAAAAAGTTACCACACATTTTCACGTGTTGATCAATGTATCTGTCATATAAAAATAACTTACTATGGATCTAAAGTATGAGTTTTGGATTTCCTATTACGGAATATAGGCCTGATTCTATTACATTAAATGGAAAAAACTCCCAGTGACTTAATTTACCTAATTAAGCAAGCATTTTTCTTTGACTTACGTATTTCCAACACTTAAGCAGCCTAAATATTTTGCATTGGTGGATTTGCTGTGACAAGAAGGTAATGGGCAAGAAAGTTCTAGGTGTCCATTAAAAATGTTTATGTAAGACCTAGTAGGGTAGATCCTCAGGTGGTGCAAGTAGTCATAGCTCCATTGTCTTCAGCAGAGCTATGGCCATTTACACCATCTGAGGCTCTACCTCAGTCTCTCTGTTCTCTTATGTGCTGGGGTGACAGAGAGCAGAGGAGGGAGGTTAATGTGGTAGAAGTGGAGTCCAGCGTTCCAAGCCTATCTTATGTCACATGTAAATATATTTTTGGTACTATCAATTTATACAGACCTCAATTTTCTCTATCACAAAAGCACCACATGCATTGGCACAAACGGTAGCTCATAAAAGCCTCAGGCCTAGAATAGATTCCAGGACAATACTGAGTTGAGTTGCCCACATGTGGAAGTTTGCACTTTGGATGGTTGTGGTCATAGCTATTATACACCATTTTGATGAGCAGTGAACCTACTTGGACATTAACAATGGAGTTTAAGTGAAAAATGACGAGAGCACTTTCATCAGCATGATATGCCACAATCCTAAGGATTAGCAGTGATTGATAGTAACACTGCAGTGATTTTCTGAAGTTAACAAAAATGGTAAGTGAACATCTGCTTTTGCAAAGAGCTCAGAGACAGCCCAGAAATCAAAGAATTCACTAAAATTAAACACTAGTCTACAAAACAGCTTTGTTAACATTTTTTATTTTTTTCAAATCACTGAAACACATTGAAAGTGCAGAGACGAAAGTTAATCTATGTGATGTATTTGCATACTTTTACAGACAAAATTAGAACAGAAACACATTCGGAATATAACCTGATTAAATATTTAGTTCAGTCCTGAGCATTCGATACTTAATACAGTATAAACATAGCAATAGTAAAAAAGTTTTTAAAATTACTTGATTTGTATCCTATAACAATTTCTGCTGAACTTTGTTCATTTGGCTAAACAATAATATTGTTTTGTACCTGTAATACTTAATTTTGATATACACAATTGCAATTACATACTGATAACTGAAACATGAGAACTAATTACTATATTCGTTAGCCCCTGTGCAGCGTAAACTCTACTTCTTTAAGAGTAATATTTATAAATTTGAACTTTATGGTTTGTTCATATCCACTTTTAGTTCAGTCTATTGAATGTTTCAGCAGTGTGAATAACTTGAATTAGTAAAAACAAAAACAAAAACCCCAGAATTGTTAAAATCTGCCTATAAATAAGTTGGTAACACTATTAATGATTTGGAAAGTGAGGAGAAAGAGCTTATACATTTAAGTCTGTCTCATTTTAAAAATGAGAAAATTTTGCAAACTAAAGCCATGAGAACTTTACAGTCTTGACCACACCTAATCAGAATTTATTTTTTTATACTCCTCTGAATGTCATTCAACATATAAACAAACAGCAGCTAGTCTGGCAAGAATTTAGAAAGCTGTAAATATTTGCCCACAATAGTTTAACGTCAAACATTTTAAATGGCCAGAACTGAACTATATTTAACAGAACATAAATAAGACTGTAAATAAATAAAAAAATAAATCATACGGTACAATTCTACACATCCTACAAACATTTTATATAATCAAACTGAGAAGCTGAAACAGTCAACCTTCATTTCACCTCTACATTAAATGTCAAACTTTTGTTTTTAAAATTTGATCTCACAAGCATGAATCATATCTTCTTGTTTCTAGTAGTCTTAAAAAAAAAAAAAAAAAAAAAGAAGAGAGAACAGACAATAAATAGGATACTCCATAGAAGAATTATGCTCAGTC